GCCCCCCCCCCCCCCAGGTGGGACTCTGGAGGGAAGAGGGTCTGTCGGCTGACTGTCCATCGCGTCTCTTGATCGTAACCCCTCCGCCCCCAAAGCTGGGCTGGACCCCGGCCCGCTGGGCACCTCCTCAGGGTCAGGTGCCGGGGAACCCGGCTGGGGCGCCCACCTCTGACTCGCCGCCAGCAGGCACGTCAGCAATGAACCGTCACACAGATCCCTGCGTGTGATCAGAGCCGAGCGCTGGGACCACAGGGGACTCAGGAGCCCCTGCCTCAGAGTTAACCCCGTGTCACCCCCTGGGCCTCCCCGCTGCATCCTCCCTGCGGTCCGTCCCAACTCCAGGGGGCTCACCACCAGCACCTGCCACTCGGGACGCGGGGGGCCAAGTCGGCCCCCGAACCGGTACCCGGCTGCCCTGCCCCGCCCCCACCACGGCCACAGCCACGCCTGTCCGGTCGATACCAACCAGCTCGCTCTCAAAATCTTGTTGCCCAAAAGAGGACGACGATGACAGTCTCTGGAACCTGGAGTCGCTGGGAACACAAAAGGGAAAAATGCCAGGAAATCCTTTTTCGAAGTCTGAAAACCTCCGTCTGGTATTCCGCCATCCTTTAGGGCCCGGGACCGAAGCTGCGGCCTTCCTCCAAGTCTGGGACAAGATCTAACTCAGCCCGTGAAACACACCCACCAGGGCGGCGGCCGCACCTGGGCGTGCAAGACGCAAAACCCCGCATTACGTGGGCCGGGTGACAAGGGGTCAGGGCACTGGCAGGCCGTCCCCGCGCCCCGGACCCTGGGGCCTCGGCTCCGGGCCCACCCAAGGAGACTTCAGGCTGTTGACGTTTGCGATACGTCTCCCGGCACGTCAGATTAACCTCGTTTTATCAAATCGACACCACCACTGGCTGCAAGGGACATAATAATCTTATGAACCGATGAGAAAGACTGAAGTGTGACCGCCATTGATGGTAAGCTGCACCCCACTTTCAGGGACAAGAAAAATGGGAGCACGGGCATCTGAATGCTGGGGGGGGCTCCCCTCTCCTGCCCTGTGTGCGGGGGGTTGGTTGCGGTGTGTGAATTATGTTCATTTTCACTTCCAGTTTTCTAGAACCGATTCCAAAACCTCACTCGCAGGGGCAGAAGACAGGAAGAACCTTGACTTTCAAAGCCTTCACAGGCAGCTCTCTCATTTGACCTTTCGGGTGCCCTGCGGGGGACAGGGGACAGGAGGAGAAAAACCCCAGAAGGTGGGGACTTGACCCCCGCCTTGCAGCCAGGGAGGAAGCGGGGCCTCCTGGGGTTCACAGGCTCAGTACCTTTCCAGTGCACGGCCCCTCCTGGGACTCGGGGTGCCACAAACACATCATGTCCCCAGAGTCCCCCCAAAACTGTCTAAGGCTCCCAAGAAGCCCTCGGGGCAAGGTGAACACCCTCGGGCTTTCGCAAACGCCAGGACCCAGGAGGCAGGAGGCGGCAGGGAGCTTTCGCAGCGACGTGGCCCGTGCCTCGCACAGAGACCACAGTCCAACGCCTGTGCAGCGAGGGTGGAGGTCGGCCGGGGGAAGCCGAGCGGCCCGGTGGGGGGAGCCTGGCCACAGGGGTGTCTCCCCCCACTGCTTCCTGTCCTGCATCTGACACCAGGTCCCAGGCCGTGTGACAGCCAGCGGGGGCTGGAGACGCCAGGGTGCGGACCTAGAGTACGGTCCCCCCTTGAGGAGTCGTGAGCAGCCAGCGGAGCCCAGGTGACGTCCAGCCAAGGGGGTCCCTGCTGCACCAGACTCACCCGACGCTGGCTGAGTGAGGGCCACCAGCCCACGCTGACCCTGAGCGGGGACAGGAGCAGCTCCCCGGGGGCTCGCCTCGCCCCCAGCCCCCAGCTAAATCATGTCAGAGAAGGGACACATTCAGGGTGAGGAAGAAGAGTGGCATCCCTCTCAGCTGATAACGAAAGCCCCGAGTGTGTAAAGCAACTAGACTTCCTCCAACAAGGTTCACGGCCACGACCACGGCCAGGCCACGGCCACGGCCAGGCCACGGCCGTGGGAGAGGCCCCTGTGGTGAGGAGAGACGGCTTCTGACCCAGGCCTGGCGGACGGATGTGCTCAGTGAAGACAACGTAGTGTCAGCATCACGTGTGGGCCCCCAGCCCCGTCCCAGTGACTCACACACACACACACACACACACACACACACTCACGCTCTTGAGGTGATATGTCCTGGTTACCTGTCTGCTTCTGACACCAGGGCGATACGGCCATAATCCCAGAATCTCCTTCTTATGATGGAAAACACCAAGATCAAACACTGACAGGAGAAAAGAAACCAAGTAAAGTGACTTCTCATTAGAGACGCCCGCCTTAGGGGCAAAGCCCACCAGCCTGAACCCAGCGGGGCTACAAGGGCCCAGAGAGGGCACCGAGCCGCCCAAGGCCACACAGCTCAACCATCCGACGCTTTGCCCACCGTCTTCACGAGCGCCTGTCGCCGATGCCAGGGCACAGAGGCCATGAGCCCAGCCCTGAGCTGGCCCCGGCGCCCTCCTCACCACGAGCATCGGCCCCGCTCTTCGCTCTCAGGGCAGCAACAGCCAGGACCCCCACCCCCCCGACCCTGCGCTGATCAGCACTCAGTGCTCCTGAGCAGGAAGGCGAGACCAGGCCTCACAGCCGCCCAGGACCCGCTTCCTTCCTCTTACACAGAACTGCACTTAATTACAGAGCGAGGAAGCAGAGCTCCCCCAGGCTGAGCCGGGTGCTCCCCCAGGCAAGCCCTGAGGATGCCAGCATGGAGCCTGGAGGGGGGACAGTGCCCACCGAGGAGCCTGGACTCTGGCAGCTCGGTCTCCACAGCCTGGGGCCCTCAGCAGATCGCTCTAAACCCCGTCCAGCTGTAAAATCTGTAAGCTCCACACCACCTCCTCTGCGTTCACCTTGGCCGTCCTCAGACCCGGTCTTGCCTGGACAGACCCCCTCCCTTCAAGGGTCAGGGAGGGTGACACAGAGCCGTTTTCAATTCGCCTACCCCTGCCAGCCTCGGTCACAAACCAGGCTTTTATTTTTATTTTATTTTATTTTATTTTATTTTATTTTATTTTATTTTATTTCATTTCATTCTATTTTATTTCATTTTATTTTTTATTTTCATTTTATTTTCATTTTATTTTATTTACTTATTTTTTTAGGAACTAAGCTTTTTTTTTTTTAAGGTTTATTTATTTATTTTGAGAGAGAGACAGAGAGAGCAACCAGGGGAGGGGGCAGAGAGAGAGAGAGAGAGAGAGAGAGAGAGAGAATCCCAAACAGGCTCCCCAATGTGGGGCCCAAACCCACGAACTCAGAGATCATGACCTGAGCCGAAATCAGGAGTCAGATGCTTAACCGACTGGGCCACTCAGGCGCCCAGAACTGACCTTTTAAACGTGGTTTTGTCTCCCTAAAGGGAATCCAGAGGCCAGAACCCCACAGGGGCCGCGTCCCTTTCGGGACCGTCTCCAGGTGGGCGGGGAAGCTGGTGACTATTCCCGGAGGCAGGTGAGTCACGTCTCAGGACAAAGCTGAAGGCGGTCCGGCAAGCGCTCCCCACCCCGCCGCCCCCTCTGCTGCCTTCTTGGGGTGTGTGTCTCATGCACCCATGTTCTCCTGGCCACTCTGGCTCACGTGTGCACCCATCACGTCCCCTGATAAACACCCAGCTCCCCTCGCCAGCGCCCCTGCAGCCGTGTCCACCCTCACTCTCCAGCGTCCCTTCTCGTTACTCCCACCAGCCCTCAGCGTCACCAGTGCACCCTCGGGCCCCCCACCCCTGTCACCCGAGGCTGGTGTTCTCAACCTACACGTGGACTCCAAGAAACGGGTTGTCTGGCACCTAAAAGCCCTTCTCATAAATGTTTTTAAAGTTTATTTATTTGAGAGAGAGAGAGAGAGAGAGAGGGAGAGACAGCGCACGAGCCAGGGAGGAACAGAGAGAAAGGGAGACAGAATCCCAGGCAGGCTCCTCCCCATCAGCACAGAGCCCACTGTGGGGCTCGAACCCACGAACCGTGAGATCAGGACCTGAGCCAAGATCAGGCGTCGGACGGTTGACCGACTGAACCCCCTGGGTGCCCCACAGAGCCCTTTCTCGTGAAAGCGACGTGAGTGGCAGGTGGGTTCCCATGCCAGCCTCTAAGGTGCCACTGTGAGGCAAATCCTGGGGCAACAGGGCGGATCTGAGTCCTGGGGACACCCCCTCCCCGGCACGAGCTACTCACATTTATACCCTCAGCGGGAGGTATGGCCACCCCACAGGCAGGAACACAAGAAGGGGCCCCGTGGTCCCCGGGAATCCCACCCAACCACCCGCGGGGGAGAACAGCATACTGCAAACCGGGGGACCCCCTGGGAACAGGCAGGTCTGGGCCACTGAAGGCCGCGAAGGTGGGCCTTTCCCCAGCTGTGTCCTCTGCTCCGTGACTGATCCCCTAAAAGGCCCAGGACCCAGCGGGGGACAGGAGGTGACATTTCTAAGCTGGGAGGTGCGGCCACTCTATTCCAGCCCATGCCTCTGGTCCCTGTGGACTGACCCCTTCCACGGGCCTCACCACACAACAGGCTGACTCTGTGACCAGAGGGACAGCTGCGTGTTCTCCACCCGCAGAGCGAGGCTCCCCGGGGTACAGCAGGCGAGGGGCACGCATGTGTGAACTCGGGCACGCCTGATCCCATACCTGAGTTTTCCAGAAGGCCCGGAAAGAGAGGGGGGGACACGATTCAGGAGGGGACTCACCAGGAAGCAACTGACGTCTATGAGCAGGACGGTGGGGACGCCCCCGAAGGTGACCCCCTGGAGCACGGTGCTGTTTTTGGCCGTGTTGTAGCAGTACGAGTCATTGGGCTGGTCCCCGATGCCCAGCCGCTCACGCACGGACACCGCCTTGGACCGCCACAGCTCCAGGATCAGGGAGTTGTTCATCGTGCCCCTCCTCCCTGGAGAGCAAACCGGGCAGATGGTCAGGGCCAGGGGTCCCCGGAGGGTCCCCCACCCGCGCTGGCAGGGCCCGACGTGGGCACTGGGGCTGCTGGGCGTTGGGAGCCAGCAGCAAGCAATCAGGGAGAGGCGGGCACCGGGCCCCGCGTGCCTGGCAGAGCCCAGGAGAATAGCCCCATTGTGGGAACAGTCCCAAGGGTCAGATGGCCCGGTGGACAGCTCATCAGGACACAGCAGGGAAGGGGGGGAGGGGAGACAGGGGCCTGCCTCCTAAGAGGTGCCTGAGCTCCTGCCAGGAAAGTCCTCCCCGGGGAGCCCCTGGGGGCTCGGGGGACAGTCAGGGGACAGAAACGAGGGAGATAAAGGTGGGAAAGACGAAAACGCAGGAAGAAACAAATCAGGAGGAAGGGACGTCCATCCAAATACGCATACACATGTCAGCTCCAGGAAGGCCCTGAAGGGGCAGCCAGAAAGGGGAACCCCCCCCCCACCTCCCCAGTCTAACAGGAAGGCCTGGCCTTTTCAAAGCAAATACGACTCCAGGTTACTCCAGGCTGCTCGTAGACCTTTCCTTTCTGAGGCTTCTGGGAGCCCCAGGAAGCTAGGAAACCACCAGTGTCTGTCCCTGTCATCCAAGGCCCCTGAAGGCCCCCGAATTAGCGCCCCCTCACACCGTCTGTGGCTGGAGAGCCGGGAGCGATAACTCAGCAACCCTTCCTCAAGCTCCGACTCGTCTGTCAGGGGACTTCTGCGAGGTCTGCTCTCTCTAACCTGCCACGGGGACAAAAATCTTGGGGACCAGAAGAAAAGGGACGGAGATATCTGGACTACCTGGCGATGCGGCTGGGGTGGTGACTGCCACTTCGACCCCCGGGACGGGCTGGCTGGGGACAATGTCACACACACAGGATGGACTGCAGGAAGCGGGTAGAGGCAGCTGCAAGGGCATGGGAGGATGACCCAGGAGCCTGAGTCACTGTCTCACCCCTTATGAGAGGTTTGGCAATGGCCGGCCGGTGTGACGCCAGAGCCACGGAGCTGGTGGCCCTCGACAGACTCACAAAGACTACCTCTGGGAGGCAGATCTTGGTTTCCCTGCTCTAAGGGTCGCCCAGCGGCACCACCCCC